AAAATTTGAATCCCAAAACCATAGTTTGACATGAAATGTTCCACTTCAGGAATGGAGGAATGGATGAAGATTCTTGAAGAATACATAGAGGTTGAGATTCTCCTCTTGGCTAAAATCACAACACAAACACGTTAGACCCATTGAGGATAGAATTAATTATAGGATTATTCAAAATATATTGACCATACATTTAAACTCTCTAACTTTACATAGCTGGATAATGACAACAACAGGACTGGATATATTCCCTGCCATGAATTGGAGAATCTCATCTGCAAAATCCCTCCAGAGTGTGCAATCAAGCTTCTCCATTCTAAAAAAAATAAACAACATAGATGTCATTAGAATTATGTCCAGCAAAGATGAATAACACAAAACATGTGGCCACACATTAGGGATACAACTTCCATGCGTACCCATCGTCCATCAGTTCCACATTAACTCTATGCTAAGTTTGGCCATTGATATTGCACTCCTCCTTCTCTCCAATAGCAGACAACATCCCAATGACATTTGCACAACAGGAAACACACTAATTCACCTAACATAGCCCATAAATGAGATCAGAATAAGACAAACATCAACACAACACACAAACCAGTCAAGTAGCGATCATCAAACTGATTTGACAATATATGAGCAAACGAACGAAAGGCAAATCCAAACTGATGAATACGATCATCTTCTGGAAGGGGACGGACTGCCATGGAATACATAAAGTTCATTCGATATGGGTGATCAGTTGTCCTCTACGACCCATAATTTGGTGTAACCATGAAGTAGGAAATAATACAAAGCTTCCCTTCTGTGAAGCTATTCAGATGACAAGTAATGAAGGGACTCTTAACCCTAGCATGTATGTTATCACCTTGCACACACGAGAAGCATTGATTTATACCACATATTGGGAAAGGGAATGATACTAAAGCATTATTCACATCCTCATCTCGAATGAGCATCTCAATAGAGGAGAGTTCTTCATGGGAATAGCGGCCAGGCATGGTCCACATACGAACTACACGAACTCTAATCCACCAATTTTGCCTGCTAGGATTAAGGGAATGAATTGCATCAAAAATGGGAACCATAACACCTATAATCACAAAATCCTGACTGACACTATCAATAATGGGAGAAGAATAGGAAGGAACATTGGAATGGTGCTCACACTTTTATGAGCAGATACTACATCAGATAACCGTCAAGGCAAGCATCATACAACTTGGGCATGATCTGCACACGAGACCACATCACAAACATGGGTTTCAGAAACATGCTGTCAAATGAAACTGAACAATGCGTGATGATGCCCAAGGGATTACTCAAATTTTTGGTCTATTAATAATTAGCTATAAATAAAAGATATAATTATATGATTTTATGAGGGATTTCTTGTATAAGATTGCATTTAAATATATAATGATAAAAACTGCCATGCAAAATCCAGACTTTGTGATTATACCCACACTTTTCTGGATTTATGTTTGGTTTATTGATAATTAATAAAAGATACAATTATATGATTTTATTAGGGATTTCTTGTAGGAAAATTGCATTTAAATATATTTAAATATATAATAAAAAACTGCCACAATCATATAAATCATGATCAGATAAATTTACCCAATATCCTCATAACCAATTTATTTTAAGAAACTGCTAATAAATATATAATAAAAAAAACTGCCCCACGTTTCTGGATATTGGGGCTATAGCTCTTCCTATGATTTATCAATTTATAAATCAAATAATATAAAATAATTTGAAAAAAGAAGAAATTCTGGGCTTGTAAGTTTAAACTAAACACGATCACCAATGCAGATGTATAAGACTATTATAAACATGGGCAGAAAATAGTTTAAAAAAATAGTTAACAAAGGTGGGATTTTTTTTTTCTTTAAAAGGAAAATTTATATGATTTTATGAGGGATTTCTTGTAGAAGATTGCATTTAAATATATAATGATAAAAACTGCCATGCAAAATCTGGATTTTGTGATTATACCCAACGTTTAAAATAAACTAACTATCCGATAAATATATAATTAAAAATTGCCACCCATTTCCATATTTTGGGAATATACTTCTTCTTATAATTTATTCATTCATAAATCAATTTAATTATTAAGTGGTCAATTTAAGTTTTAAGTGGCATATTGCATTTAAATATATAGTGATAAAAACTGCCACGCAAAATTCGGATTTTATGATTATACCCAACGATGATATATAATAAAAATTGCCACACGTCTCCATATTTTAGGAATATACTTCTTCATATAATTTTTAATTATTACGTGTCATTTTTAAATTTTAAGTGGCATAACCATGTTTTACATTCCAAATACAAATTTTCAAAGTTTCTTTAGATAATTTAGAATAATTTGAATAATCGTGCATATCCTAGAAAAAATTATGACATGTTGACTAGAAAATTCTCTCTAATAATAAACAGTTGGTGAAAACATGGGTAGAAACATGGGTAAAAAAATGTGGCCTTTTTTTTTTAAAAGAAAAAAGAACATTCATCTGATCTTTGGTGATGCCACGTGTCATGCTGCCAGGTATTCATACCTTGTACTCTACTTTTATGTATTAATGGGAAAATTAATCTTTTGGTCCCTATAGTTTTTATTTATTTGTAACTCAGTCCCTATACTTTGACTTGGTGCAACTCAGTCCCTCTAGTTTTGACTCGGTTGTAACTCAGTCCTTGAAATTTAACTCGCTGCAACTCAGTCCCCATAGTTTTGTCTATTTTATAATTTAGTCCTTGTGTTTTTGAAAAATAAAATTATATATCTAATAAAAGGAGGGACTAAATTATGAAATGGCTAAAACTATAAGGATAGAGTTGCAGCAAGTCAAACTTCAAGAACTGAGTTACAATTGAGTCTAAACTAGAGGGACTGAGTTGTACCGAGTCAAAGTATAGGGACTGAGTTACAAATGAGTCAAAACTATAGGGACCAAAGATTAATTTTCCTAATATATATATATATATATATATATATATATAATTATGCAGTTAACGGCCTCGTTTCAAGGCAGCGAACAGCAGCGGATACAAAAAACAGAGGAGAGAAGCAGAACCCGTATTAGCTCTAATTCTCTAATTAAATATTGTCATATATGATTCTCACAATTAATAATGATTTATTAAAATCTTGAAATTTTATCTGCTTAAATTTTTATCATAAAAAAGTTATGTGCTAAGATTAGATTGAAAAATTGTACATCTATTGTTTTTGCCAATATTAACTTTACTAGGGACGTGAATTATTCACGCGGGCAACTTGCTTTAAAAAGAAGAAAGATAAAGGAATAAAAAAGCGTGATTATTGTCTGCTAAATCACTTTTAAGAAAACAATAGCAGCCAAGATTGTCAAACTTAGAGTTTAAGCAAACTGGTAACAAAAATGTAAACTCATATCGTGAATTTGAATCATAAACTCATAAGAGTTTAGTTCTAATCAATAATACTGGAGCTATTAAAAGTATATAATTAAATAATTAAAATAAAAAATAACAACAATTCTATTTAAGCCCAAACATCTTCCTATTTTCAGTCTTTCACCTCCTTCTTTTTGAGTCCTTTGATGATAAAACATAGTAGAATACTTTAAAGAATACACACCACTTTACAATTTCAAATTTTGGCATTTCTTGTTTTTGTATTAATATTAGTTTTTTCCTTTTGACTTTTATTTTTATTTGGATGGGTCCTCTACACGTTCTATAAACCAAGTTCTACTGGTTACATATTTGACTTGCTCAACTCAGTAAAAATTCTGCAAGCTTGCCAAGTTTGACCAAGACAGTAGTAAGTTCAATAGAGTTTGCCAGCGGTAGAAGTTTAAAAATAAGATGATATAATTTTGGAAACTAGAAATGTAAAAACAAGTAAATTTGGTGAGTCAAGTTGTGAATTTGACAACAATGATGACACCTACTAGTTAAGAGTTTTTCAATAAAGAAAAGGAAACAAACAAACTTATAAGATAAAATATGAGCAGGATGATAATTCAAGGAGTCAGCTTATAAAACATGCATGAGTGATCTCTTATAACGACATAGTTATAAAATATCTTAAAATGAATGATTCTATCAAACTTATTCCATTAATAATATTCTATGCTAACATTTCTTGAACCGTACATTTCCCCGCAGGCTGAGGTTCCTCAATGGCTGAGATACCGATGGCTGGGATAATTGTTCCCGCGGTTGCAACTCTTACCGCGCCTGTTGTGCAGTTTCCGTTGTCCAAAGTTGGGAAGGGCTCCATTTCGCTTGCTGGCAAACATGAAGCGCTAAACTACGGATTGGAGCGGCTACTTGCTCTACAAAGAGATCTAGACATCGAAGTTCGGAACAATAGTATACAGAAAGATCCGTCTGAGGCTTACAAGCTTTGGAAGGAGCGCGTATCAAATATTAAGAACCAGGTGGCTTCCTTGAATAAAGAATACGATAATGTAGGGAGAAAGAAACTATGTATTTCGAAAAGAGATCGTCTTGAAGAGAATATGAAGAGGGCACTCAGTGAAGTAATCGGACTTCTTAAAGAATGTCCCGAGAAGATTCTAGTTGATTATAAGCCGCCAGAGAGGGTCATAAAGGATATTGGTGTTCCATCAATTGGGAAGTATCCGACTCTTCAGAATGCTTTTCAAGAAATTCTGACTCTGCTACAAGATAATAGAGTAAAATGCGTGACACTTTGTGAAAAAAAAGGAGTGGGAAAAACAACAATAATGCGGCACTTAAATGACCACTTCTACGATAGTGTTGACAAGTTGTTTGATATGATGATTTTCATCAAAGTGACGTCTGATGAGCAGACTAGAGACCCTCAAATTCTGCAAAAAATTGCAGATTGATTAAAGGTGGATAGAGAAGGTAATGAATCTGATGCTGGAAGAATACAGAAAGAGTTTCAGGACAAAAGATATTTGCTGATTTTAGATGGCGTAAGACTCGCATGCAATGGGATTTGGGCAATGCTTGATATTTCAAATGACAAAAAAGATAGTAAGGTGGTAATAACCACTCATTATCCTCTTGCTTTGAAGTCGAATTATGTTAATAGGAACGTCAAGCTTAAAAAGTTATCCCCTGATGAAGCGCAGGCTATGTTTCGAGACATTGCTGGTGTCGAGCATTTAACACCAAACATTCAACTGATATGCAAGAGGTTCTGCGCTCGTCTTCCCCTGCTTATAGATCCTATTGCAAGGTTTTTTAACCATCAAGAGGCTCCTCCTGATTGGGTTAGAGCTTTGAATGAATGTATGCCTTAGGCTCAAGTTGGAGTTGATGGTATAGAAGAGTTATTCTCAACCTTGGAAAATTGTTGTTATAAGCAGCTACGTGATCAAAGTGAACAAAAATGCTTCCTTTATGCTTCACTATATCCTGCAAACAGCAAGATATACACAGATTTTTTAGTGGAGTGTTGCATAGCTCAGGGCTTTCTTGGTGATGCTGATGCAACTACTAAGTACAGTGGGATGCGCACTAGAGCTATTGATACAGTATTGAGGTCCCTTGTTAATGTTGCATTCTTGGAGGAAGGGGAACAAATGAGGTATGTTAAAATGAATGACCTTTATAGGCAACTTGCTTTACATATATTATATAAAAACTCTGAATGCAGAACTTATTTTAACAATGAAAAACATAAGGAGCCCTTCAGATCAGAATCATGGCAGCATGCGAGATGGGTTTCTATGGTTGGTAGTAAAAGAGATAGTCTACCAGCAAATCAGAATTGTGGGAGTCTTCAGGCACCGTTGCTACAAAAGAATCCGAGGTTGGCTGAAATCCCATTAGACTTTTTTGAAAGTATGAGCAACCTTCTTGCTTTAAACTTATATAGGACTAAAATAAGCAAGTTACCATCTTTGAAAGGATTAACTGGGCTTAAGGCGTTCTATGTCAATGGTTGTTCAAGATTGAAAATATGTTCGCATGGTATCCAACCACTTAAACATCTTGAGGTATTTGACATTCGAGGTGCTAAAATAAATTTTGTGCCATACTTGGAAAGTTTGTGGTGTCTAAGAATTTCATACTTTGCGAGCAGTAATTGTGATGGAATTTCAAAGCTTCGCGAATTAGAAGAATTAACCATTGAAGTGAAGTCCCTATCAAAATGGTGCGATGATGCTGAAAATATTATAGAAGAAGTTGCTTCTTTGGAAAATCTAACAACTTTCCGATGCAGCTTTCCTTCTTCAGAAACCCTTGGAAAATTCCTAAAGAGCCGAAAATCAAGGAGAGGTAAGAAGCAGTTTACTCCATGTCCATTTTTCGTGAGAAGTGAAAGCTCACAGAATCCAAAAATCATTGAGTCTTTTGATGACGATAGCATTTCCAAATGTGTAAAGTATTGTAATGGCGATGAAAGGGTTGACTTGGCAATCACTGAGATGCTCTCTCAAGTTAAGGCATTTGAGCTAATCTGTCACAAGAGAGTATTGAAAATTTATTAGGGTTGCTAAAGACATCAAACTCAGAATGTCTCCATGATTTACTTATAGAAAGGTGTAATCAAATGTCAATCATTGTTGAAGGAGATAAGGTATACAATATCAATTGCACCAATGCAGGTCTCTTGCCAAACCTGCAACAATTACATTTGGATGATTTGGAACACTTGAGGATTGTTTTTAGGGGCCCCTTCTATTTTGGAAGCTTTTCCATGTTGCATACTTTGAAATTATAGAATTGTCCAGAGTTAACGAGTATCTTTTCTCAGGTAGCAAATATTGATTTTCCTAAACTGGAGAAATTAGTCGTTCAAAATTGTTCAAGAATTGAAGTTCTTTTCAAGGTCCCTGCTGAAGGGGAGCAACAGATACTTCCGAAATTGAAGGTGTTGGTATTAGATAGCTTGTTAAACTTCAAATTCATATGCTCAAGTGAAAATTTGGCATGGCGTTCTTTGGAGAAGTTAAATGTTCGAAAATGCCCTAACTTGAAAACGTTACCTTTCAACACAATCAATGTAGCTAATCTGAAAACCATTGAAGGTGAGGAAGAATGGTGGAACAATATCAAGCGGACTCATCCCATGGTTCATGAGCAATTTGCATCTATATTTTCAGCTTCTAATCTTTGTGCTTTTGATACTCGTAATGATCATTGTTGGTGTCAAAACTAAAAGACTTGTTTGTTTGAGTGTGACGTTTGGTTCAAATGTTTCCTCGTAGCTCATACTAATCTGTAATGTAAAGTGTAAGACTTGTATGTCTTGTTGCGCTTTCAAATGATGGTACGTACGCTGCAAAATCTCAAAAAATATTGTCATCCATGATATTTGTTTTAATGTTTACTAGAAGTTATTTTGGGCAATCTTGTTCCTTTCATCTTGGGGAGATGAACTTGGCTTGAACTAATTCTAGGATGGGCCACATGTTTTACTGTGCGTGTTAATTTCTTATTTGTTAATTTGGGTCGTGTTATTTATGGTTGCGTCTCAACTAAACAATGATAGTCTTAGTTTTTAACAAATCGTCTTTCTAACTGTCAGCTCCTCTTCTTAGCCCTTTTTCCACCTCAAACTCACATCTTAGCAAACACTAAGCCTTTTCAATTGTAAGTAATATGAGATTTTTCTTAAAAACACAATCTAAAATTCCAACATTATGATGGCAATAGTTTCATCAACTCCATGCCTTACTTTACTGTCATAAGTTGTGTTTTTGACTGCGAAATCAGTAGAATCTAAAGTGAATCTGAAACAATCCTAGTTTTGTGTTTTTACTCAACAATTCAAAAATGAAAAAGAAGTAAAGATTTTAATTTACAGGACAAAGATCAAGGGCTGTTTTATTATGATGAAGCTACAATTATGCCAATTAGAATTTCTCTCTGGCTGATAATACAAATTGCAGACCCAAAGCATACCGACATACACTTGGTTTTGTATCAGTCTTTAGCGAGTTTCTGCAAGCATTGTCCATAATAGAGACTCTTCCACAAGGCATGCTCCGCTTGAATCCTCTGCATTCGTGGAATGATGGGGAGATGGAAATTAAACCATCTAGTCGTACAGTAGGCAACTTAAGTACTTTGATTTGCATTTGATTAGGACACGCGTTCTATTTAAGTTTTTTTGGGCCAAAGCTCTCCATTTAAGTTAAAACAATATTTTCGACCCATACATTGCCAGCATATTTGAACTCACTTTGTGAATTATGAATGAACTCTTTATCAATTGAACCAATATTTGTTGTTAACAGTTCACCAAGTAAAATTCTACAATCATATATGCCAAAACAAAAGAAATTATACAATGCACGGTGAAATAATCAAGGATGACATTATTAATATTTTAAAGTTTATTTGTTCTGATTTACCTAATAAAAATATATTAAGTATATGAGGCTAAATATCTAAGCTTCTTCCTATAAAGAAAAATCCTAACATGTATAGGATAACTGATGAGTCCTGACCTCATTTCATTACATGGCGGAAAATGTAGCCATTATAGCTACTTGATAAAATCACGAAGTGAAATTAACATTAGAGATATAATACCCAATATCGGGAAACAAAGAACTCAATCTAGCATGATCACACTAACTTAACCATCAGTATCCTCATCCTATTATGCTTTTTGCATTTGGGTGGTCTAAGAACATTCCAGTCTAACTTATCTCCCTTTGGTTTTTAGAAATACCCCAAACTGTTTCTTGGCAACGATTAGTCATCGCCATTATAATTCTTGGGCAATTTAGTTGGATTTTGTGCTTCAGACGTTACTTCAGACTGTTTCCCTTTGAGGTCGCCACTAATCTCATTGGTAGTGTTTGCACAATTTGAACCATCTAGTGGAAGTCCATTTTCTCTGAATCCAAATGTAAAATAATGCGTCAGCTAACCAGGGTGAAATCCAGAGACGTAATATTTATCTGGATTTTGGGACTAAACTAAAACCATTGATGGAGAATCATCATATAACAACACCCACCCCCCCCCCCAAAAAAAAAAAAAAAGAGATGGGGATGGGAGGCAGACCACACTGACAAAATTAAACACCACAATCACTAAGGACTTGGTTCAACTCGCAATGGGCTATACCAAGTTAACTAGAGATCTCAAAGTTGAGCGCCCTAACGATCGAGCCCAGCTCAATTCAGATTAGACTGAACCCCAGGTAAATACTCCAGTTGAAGTGGGGTAGACCTAGGATACTGGGTGCTTTTGCACAAACAAAAATTAAACACCATAAAAAAATCACATTCAACTCAGTATTATGGGAAAAGAGAAGCCACCTAACAGAAATATTTCCGGTTTGATTCTTAGAACTAGGAGTTTCAGCTGCTGGCCGATGGAGCCTTGCGTCTTCTTCATTGAGTCTCTATCCAGGCAAGAATTTGCCATTAGAAATGAAAGGAATGAGTAACAGATAAACATCAAGTAGGGAAGCTTTTAAATTCTTGGTCTTAATACTCACATTAATTCGTGGATTAAAACTTTGAAATGACATCCAACCTTTAATTGCTTCTGGATGGGGATCACCTTCCATTATGACAATACTGCATACATTTAGAGAGAACACTGAAAATCAAGAAATAGCTAAAAAGAATAATTCAGAATATGTAGATATTAGAAACATATCAGAGGAAATGATGGGATTAAGTTACGAAAAACAAACTTGGTATAGAAAGGGTTTATATTGTGCTCTTTAAAAGGAGCTATAGGTAAAACGGCATTAATGATAACTTGTAGGATTTCACACTAAAGAATTTTTTAACGATACACACCAAGAGTAGATTCGAGGACGATCATGGAATTCAAACAATTCTATCAACAAGATTGATATTTATTGATAACAAGAATAGATTTAAGACGTGTGGAACCATATTAAGCAACGATGAGTCCTAATTTGTGATAAAACAGGCCCTAGCTGACAATGAATGTAGTCGGCTAGTAGCCAACCAGTCATAATCTGACATAGAACTTTTGGGTGAAAATTATTTCAGAATTCAGGTAATATGTCAGCACACTCAGACCGCCTATTTCAAGGTGGACATCCAAATGAGTACCAAGAAGGATGAAAGAAAGAAGAAAATCACCATTTTCTACTTATTGTGGGAGTTCCAAAAATATTGACATCAGATTTCACTTCATCCTCCTCTCTCTTGGATTTCTCCTCTCTTAGAGCTGCATATTGAGTCATGAAAATATCACAAAAATGAAGTCTTGAACCAAGCAATGATAAAGCCAAGCCCCAGAAAGGGGGGACCATGTTTGACTCTTGTTTTACCTTCAAGTTCTTGAGTGTGCTGGAAAGCACCCGTTTCGCCATTATGATTTCCAACTTTCCACCAAATGCCTAGATCAAAACCGATAGCTAAGATCATAAATTGAAAATTTGTGACCAAATGTCCGAAATAGATATGAAAAATTGAAAATTTAGCACTTGATTCCTTACGGATCGTATATTCTTAGAGTGTTTATCTCTACCAACGATGTACACGATTAACGCGCAGATTCCTAAAATTCAATAATTATGGCCATAGTTTGATGAGTTTATACTTAGATTAAAAATCTATCCGTTGATCCATATTACTTTGTTTAACCATTTTTATTTACTTGCTATTGGATTTGTGTGAATTGTAAATTACAAACAAATGGAAGATTTTTACCACTTATTTACGTTTTCATAGCTTTTCAAGCAAATATATCAAAGGATTACAAAATCCATAACTCGGCAGATTAAACAGGTGAACATAATCTGTGCCGGTTTATTAAAAAAGCAAAAAAAGGCGAACACACGTTTGCAAATGACAGATTCTCGGATCCAAACTAAACAATCACGACCTTGTTTGTAGGGCTGACAAATGCAGGGGAAAAAAAATTTCAGGTTATTTCAAATGCCGCTAAGAAAAATGTAGAGACGCTTGGTCAAGATACAAAGAATGCTAACAAATTGTACATCATTATAAATAAAGTCCAACTGAGAGAACAGAGTAAAGAAGGAATAAGCGAAAGCAAAGAGAGCAGAGAAGAAGGTCTTCCAAGCTTCCCAAGCATACCTGACTCACTCTCCTAGGCCACGTTTCACGAGTTTGATTTGGGGCGGAAGCTCTTACAAGCTGAGGCAAATGAGAGAAATCAAATCAGAAACACCGCTGCGAAGCTTGAACCGCGGGAATTTATGGTGACCACCGGGATAGAAGGAAAATATTTTCCGATCGAAAATAGGATCTATGAAATTAATTTTTTATTTTTTATATTTATTATTATTTTTTAAATTATCTTTATAGATATTCTTTCAACAATAATTAAATAAATAAGGGTGCAAGAATATTAAGAAAAATAATTATAATATTTTAAATATATATCATATTTCTTATAATTAACTAATTTATCTAATTAATTTTTTTAATCTAATCAAATAATTAAATAAATTTTATATTAGTGATAAGAGGAGTACCAATTTATGGATGCGGCTTCTCTTTGCTACCTAGTGGGTCCGTCGCCCTAGGGATACCTAAAGCGACGTCGTTTTAAATTTAATTTTTCTCGTTTTGTCTTTACAATTGTCCAAGTCATGCCGCGTTAGGAGAGAGAGTGGGGTTGAGGGACTGTCAAACCTTGGAAATTTGATGGTAATTGGGATCCATCTAAGGAGAATGAAAACTATTTATAAAATATTATTCAATAAAAATTAATAAAAGCGATTTGGTAGGGAAAACAAAATCAGATGAAAGAAGAAACCAAAATAAAAAAAAAGAGTTTGTAGATGTAAAATAATTTTACATTTGCAAATAAAATCTACTTATAATATGAAATCTCGTGAAACCTGATTGAGAGAAAACGGGTCCTGGGCGGTCTATGGGTCAGCGTCTAATGGTCCAGTAACGCACTATTGGGATGCCCAATGATCCAGAACCAAGTGAAGCTTCCGCCTCCCCCTCCTGGCGATTTTCTCATCCTCCTCCCTAGTTCACGGCTGCCGTTTCCAAGCACGCCATGGGGTTCCCCCCTGTCATCTCATTCTTCTCGCCTCCCATCTGCATGAGAGCAAAGAACTGAGGAGCTTCTATCGTTATTGTGCTCCTGTTGGGTATTGTGAAACAAAGAAATGAGCTGCAATTTGCTCGCCCTCCACCCTAGCACACATCATTTTCCGCACATTATTTTCCCTTTAGCTTCGTAGACCATCTTCAGTAATTTTTTCGTCCACCCCATATCATTGTTCCCATGTCAATATTCCCTTTGCTGCGTGCCTTGGTGACTGTGACCTTTTCTGCTAATTATTTTGGTTTGATTGCTTGATTTTGTGAAATTTCCTGGAATCTTAGCCTTCTCACTTGCCATCTTTCATCTTCCAAACCTTCACCCTTCCCCAAACCAGCTTCCATCTTTCACCCTTCCTCAAATCCGGTAAGATTCGTATGTTCTTTGAGATTGAAAGATCCTGATTTTTCCATTGTTGTTGGCAAAACCTTGCTCGATTCCAATGCCAAGCGATCAATGCATTTTGTTTGTTTTTCCCAACCAATTGATGATTGATTTCAATGATCCCGAATTTGATTTTGAATCTTTCAAAACAAAATTATGAGTTAAACAATTGATTATTGATTTCAATTTTGATTTTGAATCTTTTTGGTGTTGATCCTATCAACTTAGTTTGATCTTTCTGATTTTGATCTTTTATGTATTTTGGTTTGTATCTCAGATTTGGATTTTTTATCACACCATTATTATTAATAATCAATCCTGAATATGTTGTCTTAGTTATTCAAATCACTCTATCAGATATAGCCTGCGGTATCTCAAAATCCACACAGCAACATCGATTTGATGTATATATTCTGATTCCACTGGTAACTTATTAATTATTAATTAATAATAATTAATATATTTGAGATTTTAGTTTTGACCATTACTAATAATATATTAGTGTGGCTGCTAAATTCCATCCGTTATGTATCTCTGATATCCGTTATAATTAGGCCCTCCTTAGTGTTACTAACCTAAATCCTTCCATCTACCAAATCATGGTACCCATTTCATTATATTTAAATTAAATTTAACTTCTCCAAGCCCTGCATCTATCATAAACTTGAAGTTCCACACTTGAAGTTCAATCATCAGGTAGAAATTTTATCATAACCTTTTATTTATTATTATGAATTTTGAATTGATATGAATACCCTTCTTCTGCCAGCCTCTTCCTGCATGTATCTATTTAGATTTGCTTTCAAAGATTATGATTCTGGTTGTTGAAATTTGCTTGTCATCCAAAATATTTAATCTTATTCATTATTAATAAGAATGTGAAATAATTTTGAATTGAATTTTGATGGGTTGATTTTTATACTTTTTAAAAGGTTTAGTATAATTTTTTATCCTCTAAATTTGGGACCATTTTTGTTTTGGCCTCTCAAATTTCAAGCTTGTAGTTTTAGTCCTTGAATTTAACCCATCTTAAAATGTTAGCCTCTGAAGTTGCAATAGTGTTACCATTCTGCTGAATATCATTAATAGCTTCAAACGCATCTTAAAATGTTAATCTCTGAAGTTGTAACAGTGTTACAATTCTGCTAAAATGTCATTAATAAATTTATAAGAAGTGATGTATATTGAAATAAAAATCTATTGATGCCAAGACCAAGTCATAATGTTTTTTTGCAGTGTCAGGCGTTGGAATCTCTTTAGTTACACGAAAACAGGTTTCAGAAAAGGAGGACTGTTCTGCTCGTGCGAGAACTCAGGTCAGTAAAAGTAAAACACTAAAACTCCATTGGAGAGAGAATTGCATGAGCTCAGGTCAATTAGATTCTCTCTTTTTAAAAGGATCACTGTGCCTGCACTATAATGGTATTAATAATTTTTCTCAATATATCATTAAACTTTTGCAGTTTGTTTCATCGTAGCGCGTAAGATTGATTATAATAATTCAAAGAACTAGGGTGAACAAGTGGGGCAGAAATATGAGTGAATGATGTTCATATCTCCTTAATCATTGGACGAGACATATGACTCTTAAAATTTGCTATTCAACGTCACCTGCTCACAATTTAGCTTTGGGTTTAATGACTCTTAAAGTTTAGGCCCTTCTCAATTGTAATAGATGGGTAGGGTAATTGTAGCTTCTTCCTTGGATGCACAAGATGGATGTATAACTTTTGGTTTGATGACTCTTAAGGTTTAGGGTCTTCTCAACAGTAACTGATACGTAGGATAATTGTAGCTTCCTCCTTGAATGCACAAGATGGACGTATAGAATAATTTAATTCAATTCAATTATTATGTTATGTAAACAGTGTAATAATAATAAATTAATAATCAATAATAATTGATAATTAATTTAGAATTATTTTTATTTAGTGCTCATTGACATTCATCTCACCCTATTTAAATACCATACGATGCACCTGATAGTGCAGTTTTGTTAACTTCACATTCAGCATCAAGTACTAATCTCATTTTCCTAAGCTCCACATCAGCTTTATATTTGTTTACATTACATTTTACCAACAGTGATTGAGACAATTGCTATGCTTTCCTTCTTCAGTAGGTGACAAGAAGATCATCAACATACTATGGCTAGCATTACACAAGACCGCATCAAAGATATCAATGACAGTAAAGATACATGGACTATTGTTGCCCGTGTTCTCAAAAAGTGGATTGCCTACAAGAAGACTCTACCCTATGCTCCATGGAGGATTGGCCTGCTTCTTGTGGATGAGCAAGTGAGCTAGAAATTGGCATTTCTTGATTAATTAAGATCTACTACTATTAGTTATTAGTTAACCCTACAAAATTGATACAGGGTTATAGAATAGAAGGTTTTGTAACACAAAGAAGGCTGTTTGAGCATTACAAAAATGAACCCAAAGAGGGTGGCGTATACTACTTTGAAAACTTTGAGGTTGTTGACAATAGAGATCAATACAGAGTTACAGCACATTCTTGGAGGCTTAAGTTTCATGCTACTACCTACTTTGAAGAATCAGATTTGCCAATTCTTAGTGAGGCATACAACTTCGTCCCCATAAAAGATATTGCTAAATTCACAACAAAGAATGAGGGGCTAATTGGTTAGTACTATAGGGTTATGTTTAAGATCCAAATGTTAGCTTTTCACTTCTATTTTAATCATGTGATAAACAAATTGTGTGCAGATGTGATGGGCTTCCTCCATGGATTTGGCGCCTTGCAAGAGTACAAGATGAGTTTGGAACTTCCAAGAGACTAAACCTCACTCTTGCTGACAAAAAGTAAGAACCACTCCTTGAGATTTTTTTAAAAATGATTACATTTTACATGTACACTTAATTAAATTTGAAC